ATATTATGCAACAGTGGTAAACTTAGTGTTATAGTTACCCCTAAATTTTAAAGAAATTGTCATAGAAAACTAATAAATTATAGGGGTAACTATTCAATTTTTTCCCAGAAGTGGTAATATGAAAACACAAAGCAATCATATAATTTCACTTAATGATAATAAGTTAATAGTAACAATAAATCATTAGAAATTATGGATGATGATTACTTATTAACTTATTTCCGTAATGATGATAATAGCAATAATAACGTTAATAAATAGTAATAATAAAGATAATGATGGTAATATTAACAATGATAATACTAATACTAATACAAATAATAGTAATAACAATGATAATAATGATAAAGGTAATAATGATGATGATGACAATAATGATAATAATAATAATAGTAGTAGTAGTAGTAATGATAATAATAAAAATAATAATAATAATAATGATAATAATAATAATGACAATAATAAGGATGACAATAGTGATGATGATGATGATGATAACAATAATAATAATAATAATAGTAATAATAATAATAATAATAATAATAATAATAATAATGATAATAATAATAATAACAATAACAATAATAACAATGAAAATGATAACAATAATAGTAATAATAACAACAAGGGTAGTAACGACAACAATAACAATAAAGACAATAATGACAAAAGTAACACCGATAATAAAAATCAACAATATCAACTGTACCACTCCAGTATAGGTTAGCTAAACTCCACCTTCATTACGTCATCATATTTACTTAGAATACACAATAATAATAATAATAATAATAATAAAAAAAAACATTTCCAACATTCTGTCAATAAACGAAGCCTATAACGAATTCACATAACATGATGCGAATTCGCTCTCATCCATATCCTGAAGGAGTGTTTGTCCTTCTTCAGTGACGCAGGAAATGGAGGTCTGGCTGAGGAAAGGAGAGAGACGGATCCAGGCTTGTTGACATCCGCAGGTGATGCTGCCTGTGGAGATGAGATGAGATGAGAGGCTTGGGTTTTTTGTTTAGTTATGTTTTGCTTCAATTAATAAGATGGCTATAATCATCATTATTATCATTATTATTGCTGTTGTTATTATTACCATTACATTTATAATTATTATCATTACATTTATAATTATTATCATTATCATTACTTTTACAATTATTATCATTATCGCTGTTACTATTATTATCATTATTGTTATTATCATATTCATTATTATCATTATCGTCATTAGCATCATTACTATTACTGTAATAGTTGTTTTTGCTGTCATTTTCTCTCCCTCTCTTTGTCTCTCTGTTTGGGTGAATATGGCATGTATAGGCGTGGGTGACTATTCTCTCTCTGTCCCTCTCTCCCATCCCTCTTTCTCTCTATCTCCCATTACATACGTCTTTCTGTACCTCTCATTCTGCATCTATCCATCATTCAACAACATTAATATTAGTCTGCCTTAACCGATCTCATCAATCTACCAATTATTCCCATTAGAAAAAAAAACATTAATTTTCTACTTACTTGTGAATTCCAGGCGTGCTCCCCGACTTAGCAGGTTGAAGAGAACAGACGGGGAAGTGAGGTTGTAACTCTCCATTACAAGTTTAGAGCCGGGGATGAAACCTTTTGGGATGAGGGAGGAAAGCTAAATGAGTGATAACATGAACAAAAATGTGGAGTTATAAAATACGACATTTTTTTTCTCTTCCTACAAACACACACATATACACCCACGCATATACACCCCTCCCCCACACACAAATATATTTACATATATATTCGTATACACACACAAGTAATACGCCAATAATAAACTAATAAATATGTTTGCGATCTTTTTATTTATGTCTGGGATTTTTTTTTTATAATGCTTTTGGAGTCGATGTTATTGATATATTCATTACAGTATTTTTACAATCCTAACAGCAGTGCAAATAAAAAAAAAATAAGTAGGTAAGACTGGTAAGACTCCTTGGTGACTGAGAACTTGTGCACAAAACAAACAAAATAAAAAGCAGAGTGGACAAGGCGTGTATTTTCTGCCATCCCGGCAACTGTGAGGTAATCTAGCTATATCTCTATCCCTCCCTCCCCCTCTATCATGTTCATTCTATTTCTCTCTCTTTGTATACGTGTGTCTCATTCTGTTTATCAGTCAGTCTTTTCCTATCCGTTTAAATCCATCTCACACTTTCTTTCTAACTTTCCAGCTACGCATCTATACTTATTTTTCTCTGTCAATACATCTACATACCAATCAACCAATGCCCCCTACCTTCTATTTATCAGTGGTTCTTATGTTCAGTTAATCAGTGCTTTCGAATTAAAAGTCCTCCTTACTTCTAATTTACAAGTGCTTCTTGTCCTCAATTTATAGACGTTCTGTATGTTAAAGTTATCAGTGATCCCTACCTTTATTTAAATCAGTGCTCGTTACCTGTAAGTCATCAGTGCTCTCTACTTCCCATTTAGCAGCTGCTACGGCCTGTCTACTTTCACCTAATCAGTGCTCCACTACATTTACTTTATGAAGCTACCTCCTTCATTTCATCAGTGTATCAATATCCTCTACTTTCGATTTGTCAATGTTCCCTCCCTTCAGTTTATCCTACTTTCACCTCATCAATACTCTGTACCTTTATTTTACCAAAGCTCCCACCTTCATCTTATCAGTGCCTAACTATTTAAAGTTACATCCTTATCATTTCATCAGTGTATCAATATCCTCTACTTTCGATTTGTCAATGTTCCCTCCCTTCAGTTGATCCTACTTTCACCTCATCAATACTCTGTACCTTTATTTTACCAAAACTCCCACCTTCATCTTATCAGTGCCTAACTATTTAAAGTTTATCAGTGTTCTCGTCCTTCAATTTTGCAACGTGTCCTAGCGAAAGTTAATCAGTGCACCCGATCAATTAATCTCTACTTCTTACCTTCAAACACTCCCGGAAGCAAGTACTGAAAGTCACTCCCCGGAAAAAAGACTTCCTGAAGATGCAACGAATTGAAGGAGAAGCTGCCTGGAAACACTGTGTCCAAGGAGGTAGCGAGGAAGGGCACAGAGAGGGTCCTTAGGGATTCTAGGGAATGGAAGGCCAGGATTTCGACGGGCACAGGGGGAAGGATCAGACTCTGTTGAGGGATGGGAGAAGGGGGGTTAATTAGGTGTTGATTCTTGTTTGTGTGTGGGAGAGGGTGGCGGTGGGAGGGTTGTGTGTGTGTGTGTGTGTGTTTTGTGAGTTTGACGTGAAGGTAAAACATATTTCCCCGATGTTCTTAGTATGCATTTTATAAACATAAATAAAATACACCTCTATGTTTCTTTGTTTTTCTTTTCATTGCAATATCAGATTATACAACTTAAACAAATAAAGGAATACGCCAACAGAGAGACATTAACATAACCAAATGTCCTTTATCTCTTTCTCTTTCCACACACACTGACCTGCAAATTCACAATCCCTTGAAAATCTTCCCTCGCGATCTTCTCCAGAGGGTTCCCAAACAGGTCGAGAGCGAGGAGTCCTTCCGCCTTCAACGCAGGGACTCGAGTGAGGGCGTTGTAGCCGAGGAATATCACGAACACCGTTTCATTCGAAGCCCCGAGGAAATCGCCGTCTACCTCTGTTAGCGAAGGACACGACGCTACTTCGATGGCGCGGACTCGAAGCTCCCCCAGCACACCGGCGGGAAGGTGGTCGATGTGAGCGTTCTCGGCCATTTTGAACTTGTCGAAGGTGAGGTCATTTTCGTCGGTCAGTTTTTCGACAAAGTTCTTGATTTGGGCGACGTCAGTGGCGGAAGAACAGTCTAGAATCTTGCCTTCTTCTCCTTCCGTCGAAATGCAACCTGTTATTCCGGCTGGAGTGCTGGCGGAAACTGGATTTAACTGTGACGTCACTAGAACCGTTGACCACAGAAGCCATGTTGCAAAAGATGTAAAAAGTGCAAGCGTTTTCATTGAGGCGCTCTTGAATCGTCAAGATCCAGGGAGAAACTAAGGGTTGGGCCGAATTTCGTAGAGGGAAAGCCATAAAATTAAAATATCTGATTTAGATTAGATATCATCTTATCGGGGCTGCGTGCGTAATCCTTGGCGCTATGTGTAATGGCGATACAGTTATTTTTAATTATGTTTTAATCTGTCAGTATTGTTTTCCTTCTCTCCTATTCTCTTCTTTACTTCTTCCTTTCTTTTTCTTACCTCTTTTGTTCTTTTTCCCTCTTTTCTTTTTGGTATCATTATTTGGACAATAATCATCGTCATTACTGACATCAATATTTTTATGGTTATCGGTATTGTTCTTGTTATTATTATTATACCTATTGTTAATGATATTATCATTATTATTATTATCATCATCATCATCATCATCATCATAATCATCATTGTTATTATTATTATTATTATCCTTATTACTATTATTTTATCATCATTATTATTATTATATTATCATCATCATCATCATTACTATTGTTTTTATTGTTATTATTATTATTATCATTATTATTGTTGTTGTTATTATCATTATCATATTATCATTATTATCAATTTTATTATTATCAATATCATTATCATTACTATTATAATTTTTTATCATCATTCATATTATTACCATCATTAGTATTAGTATTATCTGCATCATGATAATAATCATTACCACTACTATTATTATTGTTGCTATTACTATTATTTTTATTATGATTGTTATTATTATACTATCATTATTGTTATTATTATTATTTTATTGTTGCTGTTATTTTACATCATCGTCATTGTCATTACGTTTTTGTGCCCTTCTTTTCTCGCATACTAATCTCCTTCTCGCTTTCTAACCTTTCTATTCCTCCGGTGATCTCGTGCTCATTTCTTTCATTTCCATCTCTCGACTCGCTTTAATTTCTCCCCTTTTCGTCCTTTTCCTTAAGGTTACGTCCTTATACCTACCCCCAGTTCCCCGCCCTAATACCTTACCAGTTCCATTGACACCCATGATACCTGGTCCCGAAACCTGATCCGAACTTGGGTGATCCAGCGCGCGGCGTTCAAACACGCTGGAGATAATTCCTTGCCCACGGAACCTACACGAATACACTCTGTTACTACCAATCCATGGTTTTGTTTAAATCTGTGTTAATTAAGATATTGTAATTGTTGTTCCAGAGTTTCCTTACTTGAGCTTCGAACGCTTCGAAGCAATGAGTGGCGAATAAGCCAGATGGCCACACTTGTTTTGCATGTTTTTATTGCTCTTTTTCAATATAAAGTCTTTCTTTAATGGTAGATAGGGACCTAAATGTTCTTAATTTTCTTATATATTTCTTAATAGCTTGGACAGTTTATTAATAATTTATTTTCATAACGAACTTCTTCCCTTATCGAGGGTTTTATATTGTTTTATTGTTTTTGACAATTTTAAAATTAATCTTAGATACTGTGCCAGATATCAAAGGTTATATAGCATTATCATAAAGTATTGTGGCGAATAGGGTAAAAATGAGTTCACAAATTAGGATACGTAGACAGAAGGGGATAAAGAAAAGGAAGAGGAAAGGGAGAGAAGACCATGCAAAATTTATTGAAGCGAGGGCTGAGGTCCGAGATAAGGGTGATCCCCACCTCCGTCTCCTAAGCCCCCCCCCCACCCCCCCCACCCCCCGACAACAACGAGCAATGGACTGGGAGGAGAGGAGAGGGTATACAAATAGATACATGCATAAATTAGATCAATAAAACGATTGAATTATTAGGACTGATCATCCTGAGCCTAGGCTTATGGCAATATAGTCAGACGGACTCCAGGCTCGGGTATAGATATCCAGACACTGAGCAGATGGTAATAACTTTTAGTGTCTAAGCAATCGACAGGCTTGGGTGATCTTCTGTAGATCATAGGTGGGTGGTTGAGAGGCTTTAAAATAGTGGTATCGATGGATTCTTCTCACTCTCTACCCTAATACACAGAAATTATATCGCGGACTTGTAGTGAACGACTTGGTCCCATCTAGTCGTCTCACTCCAGGAGGTATCTCTCTGCAACATCTCTCACCTCCAACTCTCCCACAGGCTAAAATATTACCACGTAACTGGGGAAAAAGGGCGAACTTGGGGTGGCAACACTCTCCTGGTGGAGTCGCCGCGTGGCGACGTTTTGCCCTGCAACATCGCGGCTTCCACTTTTGTCAGCGGTTTCACGTTGCCAGGACCTGCAATGTACCTCTACTCATTAAGGCAACCCAACTCGCGATCGCCATCCCTCCAGTGGAGCTCGGGGCGCAAGGATTTATCTCGCCAGTGAGGAGGATGCGCGAGAAGGTGTTGCCACGGACCGCTGTTTTTTTTATATTATTTGTATTTTTTTAAATAAATGTTCAATATGCTTGTATCTGTATACCACCAGTCTCTCTCAACCACACACTAATATAATAAGGAGAATTTTATTTATTTTTATATTTTTGAAGATTATTTTATTATCTTTTGGGATTTCTGTTTTAATACACAGAAGAATTTATTATTTTAACTCAAAGTTTTTTATAGTCACTTTACTTTTATATCTCCTTTTATTTTATTGAGCTTTCTCGAGAGTTTTAACTCCACGTTCCCATTGGTTCTTCTAAGATCAGATGGTTTATTTATTATTTTATCTTAATGCTGATTTTAATTATTTTTATCATACAAAGGATTTTATTTTCATATTTTAGCTTTAAAATTAAAGTTGATTTTACTGATTAATGAACAAAAAGAACCAGTGCCCCAGGTTTTCGCGCCTGAAAGGCAATGTGGGAAGCCAGAAAATAGACAAAGGGGGATTCAGGATTTGGTCTTTACACTGGATAGACTGCTCAGGGATCCCCGGAATGGGCTTCCCTAGAATACAGCTAAGTGGTTGTGAAGTTGATGCATATAGGTGGTGAGAGACATTTGACCAAATATTTATTCGGGGAGTGACAAGTGATTTGGTGATTTATTTATTTATTATTTTAGTGTTTTTGTATGTGCTTTTTGGTTTTATTGGTTTTACTATTTTATTGATTTTACTGTTTTTGTGTTTTTATTGCATTGAACGTTTTATTGTTTTAAAAGTGTTTGCTATACTATTTTTAATAAATGTTTTATTACTTGTCGCAATTTTCCTCGCGCACCTATGTGAAGGGAAAAGGACTGAATAGCTCAGTGGCTAAAACAGCTTAGAAATCGCTACTTGCGTATACGCACACGCCTCTCCTCGGCTTATTCACGCCTACCAGCCTTTATACTCCCGCATCCAACACGTACACTACACACACACACACACACATACACTCGCATACACAACCTATCGCTCCTTTCCCCATTATCTTCTACACTATTTACCTTCCTACAAACTACATAACGTTCCCATACGTAAATTAAATGGGTGGTGGCAGTGACGCTACTCTTTTTCACATTCTTGCGGGATATAATTGTATTCACTACAGACTCCCTAACCCTCCCCCCACACCCCCTACGCCCACAATCTTGGTGCCAATAACAGGGGAGGGCATGAATGGTACCATAGAAACTGCAGGGTAAAGTGTGACTTATATACAGAGAATTGGTCAATATATAGTCAAATGCAGGAGGTTATGGCCCCTGCTATTCCCTCGTGCGCTCTACCCTGCCTTGACCACGCGGAGGATTCTTTGTTATATCAGGTTGGGGGTTGGGGAGCGGTAGTCCCTTAGGAGGGTCGCATTAGACAATATAGTGATATCTGTGTATATCATTATCATAGAGACGTTTCTTCGCGTATACTTTTCATATATTATCTCGCAGTTTCCCTGGTACATTCATGCCATTTCCTGCTTTTCGAGTCAACTATGTGGGGGTTCGGCGGATATGTGATCGGCCATTCGAAGATATTCTAAACCATTGCCCAAAGAGAAAGCGATCTTCAATCTTCTAAAAGAAATATTTGAAACAGAAATTTACAAAGATAAGTGGTAACTGGTTCAAGAACCAAATAATGGGCATTACGTGAATATTAACATAGTGACCCGTAAGAAATATTAGTTTTCTATGAAGAAAAGGAGGATTTTATGGTACACTATTTTATTTTATAGATATTCCAAGGCTGACGTCTTTAATATCATTACTGTGCATAACTATATTTTCCGATGAGGTTAATAGGGCACAGAGTCGGTTGACTGATGGCTCTCTTCTTGTATAACACTGTCGTTATATATATATATATATATATATATATATATATATATATATATATATATATATATATATATATATATATATATATATATATATGTATATATATATATATATATATATATATATATATGTATATATATATATATATATATATATATATATATATATATATATATATATATATATATATATATATATATATATATATATATATATATATATATATATATATGTATATATATATATATATATATATATATATATATATATATATATACATATATATATATATAATATATTTATATATACATATATATATATAATATATTTATATATATATATATATATATATATATATATATATATATATATATATACAGACAAACAGTTTTATATATATGCGTGTGCGTGTGCGTGCGCGTGCGTGCGTGCGTGCGTGTGTGTGTGTGTGTATGTGTGCGTGCGTGCATGCGTGTGTGTGTGTGTGTGTGTGTGTGTGTGTGTGTGTGTGTGTGTGTGTGTGTGTGTATATATATATATATATATATATATATATATATATATATATATATATATACTGATACGTATATAATTGTATGTGTGCTTATTACTCACCTCTAATTACTATTTTGATCATTAAGTAACTTTTCTAAGGCTGAAATTAATCCCTTTCCTTTTCTACTAAATAAAACCGCCTGCTAACCCAAACTTTATATAAATGCATTAGATACAACTGATGCAAACAATTAGTATTGTCCCATTTGGCAGTAGGAACAATAACAATTTCAGATAC